TGTTTTTATCATTTAATAATCTTGTTATAGAGCGAATGGTTGATGTTTTAACTTTTACTGGCAGACACAGGAATAATTAATGTTCAGATGAATTGCATTTTCCAGAATTTATTTAATGGCGAAGTTATGGATGAAAGCAAGATGGTGCCGCGTTTGCTTACATTTTTCTTTCTTCTTTGTTACCGAAAAAGCTTTGAGAGCCATGCTCAGAAGAGAAGTGTTCCATACTTTTACAGGTATTATTTTTATTTTTCTCCCTCATGATTTGATCAACAAATTTTGTATTGATTTAATGGAAACACTATCATTAGCCAAGCATTTAATCAATGAAGTGCGCATATATAGATGATGCCTGAAATAACTTATTAATCAGATTTTCTGCTTATTATTATATAATAAGCTCCAGATTTTAGTACCAAAGTCGAAAGAGTCATACCTGTGCGGTTGCTGCTAAATGTTGTTGAAACTCGACCGGAGCACTTTCGTGCTATTCGATCGCCATTAGTTTATTTATGCGGCCTCTATTACCCGTATATGCTTCCAACTGTCGATTCATTACTATTATCTGTAGACGATGAATTGAAGAATCCTGAAATCAAAACTACTGCTCGGTGAAACATTTTCTGTTTTATGATTTTCTTTCAGTCTACTCACTAATACAGCTTTTTAACATGATTCATTTATGTTAAATCATATCTGGAAAAAATTAGGATTAACTAATAAACACCTTTATGTAAATCTTTTTTGTTTCAAACTTCCAAGAATATGCATTCCTGTAAAAATAGAAATTTGATGAAATGGTAATTTTATCCGTTGTCATACAATCTCAGTACAATTTTACGCAAATTTAGGTTTACGCAAATTTAGATTACTTTTTACGGAAAGATTTATTATTACAGGAGAGTCCCATTGTCAACAGGTTTACTATTGAAAGCTTTCAATAGAATTGATGAAAATCCTTCAAATTCTATGCGTTTTATACGTTTGCTGCAAAAAAAAAAAAAAAGCACACTGCGCGAACAGGTACAAGCGATGGACGCTATTATACATGCAATGGTCATTGCTCTCAACCCATGTACACCAGTGGCTTTTGCAAATGGAGCAGTAGCGATTTGGAAACGTCTGGAAAATGTCGTCCCGAGATCACTTTGTGAAGTTTGTCTTCAATGCTAAGAACAGTATCCTTTGGCATTTTGCTTTTTTTTTTTTGAAATTTTGATTGATTATATTGTTGAACTTCTTCAACTCGGATTATGCATGAAATGAAGTAATCAGTACTTAAACGAGATGTTCTGATGAATGATGCCAGTTACATCGGTGCCTGGACATTAGCTTTCTGTTTTCTTTTTTTTTTTTTCTGTTTCGACTGCTTATGAGTTTCCAAAAAATTCAGGCTACAGTCTTCGCTTGGTCTGCTGAGGAGTTGAATCATGATATGTTAGTTGAACAACCGTTGTTTTTGTTTCGATGCGATGAACGCCTATTCGAAAATGATATTCTATTCCCATGTTATTTACGTATTCTTTCGTTTTATTTATCCGCAAGTCGCACACACTTATTGCAAAAGCTACAAATCAATCAGATTGGAAGGTATATCACTTGAAAGAAATTTTGGAACCAAAATTTGGCAGAATATTTGTGGTATTATCTTTTTTTAATAGTTGTTTATTATTTTTAATAATTAGACTGATCAAGTTTTATTTTCTGTATTTTCAGTGATTATTACATCATTTCATTTTTACAGAGATGATCAACGCGTAGAACGGGAAGAGCTTGCCCGCTCATTAATTGGAGCGCAAGATTCGGCAGTTGTACAGATTTTATTAGAAATATGTGGACGTTTCAAGAATATCGTTGTCCATCGCCTTTGCTGCGCACATGTCCATCAGATGTTCATTGCCGATCCCGTTCTTTCCAAATTAGTTCATTTCCAGGTTGTTCTTTATTATTTATGATTAAAGCTCTGAAAACTTCTTTTGCTATGAGCTCTATCCATTTGGGCTGCTTATGAGTTTCCAACAAAAAATTCAGGCTGCAGTCTTTGCTTGGCCATTTCTTTTTTGATTTTTTTGTTTTCTCATGAATTTTATCTTTAGTCATGGATGCATGACTAAAGATAAAGTATAAGAATGAATGTAAAATTGCAAGTGCGGGATGTAACCAGTTATTTCACCTTTATCATTCAGGTACTACATATGTTCCGTACTTATAAGATTATTTAAGAAAGCTTTTGTTCTTTCTGCTCACTTACCTAAATTGAATTTTTTTCTCATATTTTTTGGAAAAGATGCTTTTCTCATATTTGAAAAAAAAGTTTAACTCAAGGAGGATTGAAATCTGAAATTCGAAGTTCATTTTCATTGAATTTTAGGGTTATCCCTTGCGATTAATTCCATTAGCTGTACGAGAAATACCATCAATGCATATTTGCCTGGAGTTTGTGCATGAAATCCTAGCATTGGCGGATATTTCGAAACGTATCTTTGCCATTGTTCTTATTGCTGAGCTGGCACAGCAAGTATGTAGTTTCTGAATGCAATTTAAATTTGAATTCTGAAGTTTAGTTTAATTTTAAATAGAAGATGGCGGAACATCGATTCTAGAAAATGGATTCAAATTTTCTCTTTTCATTGATAATTGATAAGTATAGGCGAATGGTAAATAATGTATTAGTCAGATGTATTGCTGATATTCTTACCAAGGGTAGATTAAAATTGTACCTGGGAATCATCAAGATCAAGAATGTACAGTTTCTAAATGGGGGTAATTCTGGTGTACTGTGGAATTAAATTCGTAAAGTGCATAGATCTCACGTTTCTTATTAGTTTGTTTGATGTATATTTTTAATCTTCACTGTGAATAATCATAAAAAGACGTTTTTCAACTACCTCAATATTTGAGAAACTAAAATGTGAATTATTTGCATTAGATAGATTTCTGTTAAATATTTTTTCTGTGTTTAATATTTTTACAGTTTGACATTTTCGATTCTGTGCTATTTTTTGAATTTTTTTCGTAACTGAAATAACTTTTGGATCTTTTGCTCAGATTTTACTGTAACAATAACATTTATTTCAGAAAATCTCTTAGATTATATTTCGGTGCATCATCTTTATATTGTGCAACCATAAGCATGACTAATTTTGTCCTTTTCTAGTACAAAATAGAATCATCATTTATTCGTGTGGAACTATTATTGGATGTATTAACAACGTTATCACGTGCCTTGACTACCGATGAAAATTTACGTTTGTTATCAAGAGCTGTACCGTCGTTGGGCCGCATAATGTCGCTATTTCCACAAATATCAGCTGATGTTGCACATCTATTAATACGTATTTCCTCTATTGCCGCGTCACGCATGGCAGTTTCAGCAACCATACTGAAAACTGAATTATGTATGGAGAGACGTTTAATCATGCTTGTAAATAATATTCTTTGTGAAACTGTGTCTGATGTGGCTGCCTTTCCCGTGTAGTTTTAATAATATAATATTTGTTAATAACTTTATCGAGTTGTTGACGTATTTTGGAATCTTTAAAGGTTGATATTAAGTAGTTGTTGTATTAGAATTCGGTTAGTGGTTTATTAAATAAGCTAAATGATAAAAGAATTGTTTCAAAATATTGCAGATAAGAATAAAAAACGTTTTCCCTTATTGTTCTACGACTTTTTAGTTTTTCCTCATTCATTATGCCAAGAAACGGAGTTTATTTTACAATTAGCATTCGTTGGCTAGACAACGTCATTCGCTGTTGTGCCAATCTCTCGCCAATTAAAAATATCCAAATCATGCGGTAACTGTTAGCTTTATTTTGAAAAATTGTGATCTGAAAACATTGTCTCCAGGCACAGTGTTCATAACACTTCCAAGAAATTTGCAAACACGGTATTCCTCTTTTATTAAGTTTCAAAAATAACAGTAATGAAAAGTAAGAAGGACAGTTGTCGTAGTTTGCTTAAATAATCCGTTAGCCTACATTTTGCAGCTTCATTAGATTATATGACTCACTCTAAATTGCTTTCATCTCGAATTATTATGGAGTAATGACCACTTTTTTATATCTTGAATTATAATATCCATCCCTTAATTTAATTCCGTTCCCAAATCATAAACTGAGATTGATTGTATGCACCGGAAAGAAAGGTTCGATTCGGCAACTTCACTCATTGTGTCATCCACGAACAATAATTCAGATAGGACGACCCACATATTGTGCATTGTTTTGCATTGAAGTTTACCGTTTGACTATTTCGGAAAACATAGCGATTAATAAATGAAGCACTCAATCAAGTAGTTGTAGTTGAGAATGAATCGCCACTCTGTGAAGTGATATTTTTTTAAAGCAGAAATCATTAACTTTTGCTGGGATATTCCCATTTGTACTTTTTTAATATTTTTTTAAATCCTTTAATTTTTTTCAAGTTTTTTTTTTAATATTTTGCCATCATGAAAGTGTGAAAGACGGACATTCTTTATCCATTGCTTCTTCAATGAACTTCAAATGATAAATTACCTAATGAAGAAGAATAAATACATCACTTTGATATTCGTGTCAATCACGTGTAGAATTTAACGCTTCTAAGATTTGTTTTCTCCGCAATTGTAGAATACTGGCAAGAAGCTCTGTGTGACATTCGATATTTTTGCATACCTACAATGGGACACGACATGTACGTCCTCTGATCTGGTATTCAAAATCTGTCTACACTTTTTAATTGAATAGTTTGTTGTGAGAAACTTAGATGGACCTCAATGGCTGCCTTTGAGAGCAATGCAAGTGCTGGAGGATATTGTCCACTATTACTTCACAACACTAAGACTAAGAAAGTAAAACAAATCAAATGATATTGCAGAAGTCACAGTGCTGGAGAAAACATTGTTGGTTGGGAGTAGGATAATCCAATCCCTGAATGGATCTCAAGGATCTTTGTTCCTTGGCCATACCTACCTTTTATTGGCCAGAATCTACAGAAATTTGCTACAATGAAAAAATATCTTAGAAGACATAATCTCTACCAATGCTATCTTTTCTGTATTTGTTGGCGTAAAATGAAACGAAGAGAATGAAAAAGGACGAATAGATTAGAATGCATAGCCCACTGTAGCTTGTCTCACACTTCTTTCTGGCATTTATAAATTGGCGTATTTTGATAAGACCAAACAAGCAAATAGGAAACTGTGCCATTTGGATTCCGTTGATTACACGTGCGCTGCATGTACGACGTTTCCAAATACAACTTTGAGCTGCCAGGTAAGAGTAAAGTGCGGAATGAGCAGCAAGATTGGTGGTAGCAATCCAACGAGCCACGGCACCGATACGCTGATAAGCGCAGATCATCGAAATGGAAACAACGATGTGATGAGCCACGTGAAGATGATTCGTTTTACGACCATCCAATATCAAAAGTACGGTGTCCAATAATTCCCACATCTTGCTGATGTGAAATGTGAATATTGCCTTTCCCGACCTTGGGTTCTTGTAAAGGTCAGCATTTAGACATAAACTTGAGTAGAAGCCTTGACGAAAAGAACTTAGGAAATCAGGTAATAAGGCAAGAAGCAGGACAATATCCGCCAACGCATTAAAGGCGTTCCAACAAAAATGATCGTTGCCATGCCTTGGCTTCTTCTTCCTTTACAAATTGGCCGCACACTAATAACAAATAACGCGTACGCAACTATGAGAAACGTAAAAAGAGGACGGTATTGTTGCATCCACTCCATCGACAACTGCGCGTCATAATGCAGTCGTTTTCTGTCCATATTTTAATTAGTGTGAGTGAGGAGCTGGCGAAAATATCTATTGGAATGGAGGGAACGAACTGCGCCGATTGGTACGCCCTCCATAATTACAATGCGCTGTTGGCCGCATGCGACTTCTATTAATTTAAATACATGTAAATGAGTAAAATGCGATGATTAAATTCAATGACAAAGGATCAACACAAGGAAGCGAGCACTGTTGGACCCTAATGAAACTCATTGAGCCTAACGCATTGAATGTTCATTGTAATATCCCCACTGACCACCGGCAACACAAAGGTCATCGATCTGGAAGGTCATGGTCAGATTTTCTTTGGTTCGTTAGATGAACTTTAGAAACATAACTGATTCAGTAGGCTGTTTGGCTCAATTTGGCTCAGTGTGACTGAAATGGGAGTAATGAAATGAAAAGTTAAAATATTTCTTTGTTACTGTTAATAAAATTTTACTGATATTGCGACAGAAGCATATGCCTAAAAGGGAAGAATTTGAAAGGGAAAGTTACAGCTACAAATATTTCGATTTTTTTCTCTTTTTGAAAAGACAAAGAAGACAATGTCTTAAAAATCTTTTTGCTGTCACACTTAATTAATCAGAATTCAGGTAATGCAAAGATGAAATTTCGAGCTCAGTAATGAGTAATCAAATCGATTGCTTATTTTTCTTCTAAGTTTAAAATGATGCAACAAAAATTTTAAAAAATATTTTACATTACAGGGAAGCTTTAAAGTATATTTTTTGAAAATTATACATGCTGAGAGATTTAAGTAACTATCGATCTATAGTTGGCATTTTTCATTTGTGTTTGGTAAATGCCGTAAATTAAAATTAATTCAGTAATGATTTCTTTGTCCGGGACTTCATAGTGTAATGCCGTATTAGCACTCGTCTCGGGAGAATTATTACATAAGATAAGTTGAGTAAATAGACATATAGTTGGAATGAACAAATAGAAACTTCCCACTATTTGGAAAAATCTATTCTTACCAAACAAATATAAATATCACCGTATTGAGCGGTTCATCTGTTCGCAATTTTGCATATTTAAACAGATGCTTTGAAATTAAAAAGCATATCATGGGAAATGATTTAATTTTTCACCATATTAATTACAGTTTACTTATCAAAGAAGGATCTACGTGCATTTCGTTTTTGTTTGATCCACCCGTCAGTAAACAAACACAGCAGCAAAGCAATAAAATAACGGAATATTTTATTAAATGAGTTCTCTTGCCAGCACTTAGTAATTGTTGCTTTTCCATTAATTGTTCATAAGATGATGTATCGTTAGAATTTCTCGGATTATAAAATATATTTTCATAAATTTTGAATGTTGCGACACATTTTTAACTTTAATTTCTTTTTCTGACATATTTATGAAAGACGGAACAAAATTTATAAAATTTTCGTTTCTACTTTTATTGGTTAGTTTAATGTGGTTAAAACTTAGAAAATGAATTGATACTTAAACACAAACACTGTGTATGAAGTGAATATGATACCGTAATTAAAATGAATGCCATTGTCAGGGTTGTTTATGATACCGTGAAGTGAGCGTGTTACCGTAATTAATGAATGTTATTGCCAGTGTTATTTGATGTTATTTTCTTTTTGTACATTTCAAAAGAGCGGTCGAAATGTCTTCCAATCGGAACCTTTAATGAAGTATCGAATATAAAATGTTTCCTATGGGTGACCCACCTCTGTTCATGAAAATAACATTTAGTTCTTAATTTTACATTGCAAGTCATAATTTCTTCCAATCGTTCAAAAAAAATAACAAAAAAAAGTTGTTGACGGAGATGAAGGCACAAACTTCTGAATATTGCTTATTGAATGATTTGGAAACTTCTAGTTATTATCAGTGCAACCGCTTAAGGTATTTTTGTTTGTGAATGAAACAGTGAAGTAAGTTAAAACTATCCTTGAAATTGCGAAAGATCACTGAAATGCCTTCAAAAGTGTTAACGCTAATGTAACTACTGATAAGGATGATTTTTAAGAGGAAAATTAATGAATGCTTTAGTGGTGATGATATGACCTAAATTATTGATATGCTAATAAGAGAGATATGCACATATCAGCTGGATTCTCAGCAGTGATACAACCGAAAAACAAAATGGTTCATTCGTTAAGCTTTCAAGATCAAAGTTCTTTTTCCCAATTGCTACTGTCAAATTAATTAGATCTTGTTATCAAATGCTGAAAAATAAATCGAATTACCTTCGATGTTGTTGCTATTTCATGTACTCTACTCACTACTTAATAACGAACAATTTTCAAAGCTAATAACATTCTGCTGATGATATGACCAGAAAAATTAGGTGTAAGATGAATGGAAAATGTCACACTAGAATTACTTATAACTTTCAATCGTATTCCGTCAAATAAATACTTTACGGAGCCTTTTGCTCCCATCGTTTCGGCTTTCGCTGCCACATATTTCTAAAAAATTTTATCTGTTTAAACTAAACATTGCCATCATAACAGCACGCCATAATAGCCCTTATTAATATTTAAAATTTCTGTATTCAGAACAAACTGATTTTCAAAATGATTATTAGACTGTTAATGATAGTTGCAATGAACAATATTATAATGGCTCAATTTTCCTGCAAGAATCGTAACGGAAAATCTGTTAATTGGTTTGTTTTCGTTCCCTTGAAAGAACCTTCTTTTGCACTTTCATCAGCGAACTGATTAATCAATTAACAAATCAGTTGTTATTAGATTTACCAATTTTTTATTAGTTTACATTTATGCTTAACAACACCAAAAAAATTGATACGATTGCTGATTTGAATTTAGTACTAAGTAACATCCTCGGATGCCAGCCTTGTGAGGATGCAATGATTCTGAAGAGAGCAAAGAATATTGCTAGGATTTGAAAGGATATTCAGGTTCGTCGGATCAAACAGCCCAAAAGGCATCACAGACATATCCGGGTGTAGCATTTCATTACGCTGATAATGATTCCAAAGAATGGGGTCCAGCAGAAAATTTGAAATCACCAAAGAATGCTATTGCTGTAACGCTTAAACAATATTATGATAATAAGAATAACAAAAAAAAGGTCTTCTTTGATTTACAACAATAGAAATGTTGGAAGTCTTAGAAAGAAAGTTTTCAAGTTTCTCTTGGCCGTCTTGAAATTATTTCCAAAATTGCTTGTCTACCGAACCCTTAGAAAAATTTAACTTTATAACTGATATCATACAACAATACGAGTTAATATTATTGTATCAATATTACAATTATCATTTACAGGAATTATTTTATCTCTTTTACAATGACCAAGCACCAGTTAACGAAAAAAAAAGTCATCTAAACCGCGCGCATGCAAAGGGGTCGCTGTTTTCGGTAACACATCCGGTTTCTGGCTTGTTCATAGTGTACCTAAGTTTCCTTCACTTAAACGCTACTCATATGCTGAGAACGGTCAAACTTATGGGCAGTCATTTCTGTGTGTCACATTGAAAACGACATCCATCAAAGTATTTGGTAAGTAATTACTTTAAAGGATTTAATTGTTCTGAGGTAATTTAACTCATTCATTTAAATGATTGGACGCAAGTAGAGTTATAATTGGAATTATTTAATTTCGAAAATTTAGCGAATGCGATGAGATATATCTATCCGGAAGTGTACGGCATCACTGTGCCCAGAAATTTCTTGAATAGATTCCCATTCTTGGAAGATCTGAAAGAGTTAAAAAAGAAAAGAATTTCCAATATGTCATCGTTGCTTCAGAATTTTAAGTCGAATGGTAATGTGGATTTCTTTGCTTTCTCAAAGACTGGAAAATATAACAAAGGTATAGCTTTGCAATTTGTTTCAGATATCTTTGAATAAATGCAGACTATAAAAAGAAAGAAAAACATCAAGAATATCTTGAAATTTCTGAAAGAGAAAAAAGTTTGGAAAGAAAAAAGCACATAAGAAACCTCAGGAAGATAAGCGAAAAATCTCAAATGACTAAACCTTCTTGGATTTAAACCTTTAACTGACAATAAAAGCTAAAAAGTTGTTATAAATTGAGTTAATCTTTATTTGAATTTGATTTGTTCAGATCTTTATTTGGATTTGATTGCAAAAGAAATGAATGTATCACTTTTTGCTGAGACATGGATGAACGGTGCTGCAAAAGACTTAAATTCGGAATGCACTACTAAATATAAAGTAAGCTCAGAAATTACATTTTCACTTAGATTTCAAAAATTAAATTTCATCTAACTTTGACTCTACGAATAGAATCTACAACTTAGATTTTCGACTTCCGAATTTAAGCAACTCACTCAACATTCGTTTAAAGAAATGACGTTGTAAGAATACTACGACAAGTTCTGAGAAAATTATATAATAATAGAAAATCAAATACGCATATTATCTTCTATTAATTTCCATCAATTACCTTAGGTAATAAATGTCAAGGAATTGAATGTCGCGGGTGACAAGTTTGCCAGCAACAGAGATCATTCAAAGTGGGCCATTGCCGAAAACAAAACAAAACCACTTGTATGCATTGGTGACATTAACAGGCAGGTAAGTATGGGATTTTGGATGGAATGTAAGTCTCAAGCTGCCCTTGCGTTTATCATTCAGAAAGGTTCAATTGCAAGATGAGCTTTGATCACAAGTATAATTTTGGATTTCAGAATTTTCAGGAGGGAATAAATCACAATAAAGTGGGGAACTGATAAGCAATTTTTAACAGAATCCTCGCAACATTCTTCAATTGGATTAGTGCAAATAATTTTAAAAAATCAGCAAAATGTTCTTTTTCTAGGAATCACAGAAAAAGCGAGGAGGTGGAGCAGTATGCTTATTGAATAAGAATATTTGGAATTTATATAATAAATCAATTACCGATGTGGAAAGTTGTAAAGTTAAATGAGGGAAGTGGGCAGGACTTCTCGTTTTTTTATTTTGTCATGAAACGGAAACTGGCTGGTATCTGAATTGAATAAATAATTAGATCGAAACAGTCTTTGTTGCAGTTGAAAGCATTCCCAGTGGATATTCTCATAACTTTGTTTATTCTCCATTTCGCTTCCTTTTGTTTGCCAATATGTGAATGGAAGACAAATGGAACTGTAAAGAAATTAACTTGAAAAGTTAAAATATCACTTTTTTATAAACTGAGAATTTGAATCACTTCGAAGGAACAGCAGTTAGCTGCTACGACTCATTTTACTAATTGTCGTAAGTATTTCATGTCATTCTTTTTATATTTTTTTGGTGTCAAAAATAACAGTACCTTAATGTCTTTTTCATTATTTTCTAAACTGGATTAAAAACTTTAATTCTCTTCTAGAATATTTTTTGGTTCCGGTTTTAGTATATGAACAAAATGAGATCACTGAAATGTTTACTGTTAGATTTATCAATCGTTACTGTCCCTTAGTGGATGATTCTAATAATCATAAGATATTAGCATTGATAATTAGCTGATAACTGTGATTTCACACAGGAAACAAACTAAAAGAATGAAAGCTATAAAAGCGGAAAAACGATACATCAACAAATCAGAAGGACACAATTTGTTTAAAAAATTAGTGGTTGCACTTCAATGAAAAGTGTTTAAATATTTTCGGATTGTTATTAATTTCGAAAATCCCACATGGAATGGCAAAGAATAAACAAAAATTAAGTCGTATTTTTGTTTTTTGATAAATGTAATTAAATAATGGAGGGGGTAATTATTCAAAATTGATTGCTATAACAATTAGTTTCTCCAAAATAATAGCTGACAGTTATACGTAACGGGTACAGTGACGTCATGTGGTGACAGTGATGATGTTATGTGATGACGATGATATGTTACATGATGAGGATAATCTACATGTCACTAAATTAAGGCTAAGCATCATTTGTTAACACAAAAAATCTGCAAACCATTACAGGACATTATTAATTAAACGGTAGCCAAAGCAAAACAGTACAAACAGTAAGGAATTATAGGACAATAAAAGTTCCTCAGATTTAAAGAGAAATTTCAATATTATCAATTTCAGTATCAAAATACATATTATCAGATCTTATCTCCAATTTGTGTATGAGCATCATGTTTCGATATCAGACTATAGGAAAGCTGAGAGCTACCTATAATCTGCTCAACATCGATATCAGAGTAGAAGTTGACAGGTGGTGTAAGGAATGAACCCGGCACGGTTGGCTCGTAATAATCGTATTCCAAATCGTGATCGGTATTAAATGAAAGTGATGAGTGCTCGTCGTTACGTGGTGTAATTTGTGGTGAATTAGTTGCTCGAGACCATCGTAAACCTGGAATAGAGACAAGATACCAAAATGTTTAATGTTTAATAGCCTTAACAGAATAGGATGTATTTTCCCATAACACTTAAAGTAATCACTGACTTTCAGAAACATTTAAACTTTATTTCTTTTGATCTTGAAAATTCTGAGTTTAAAAATTTTATTGGTGATGGCATAACAAACTCTGACTTTTCGTAAATTTTAACCTTTCTCGCGGGGGAAACGTGGAGTCGATGATGCCGAAAGCTGTATACCGATAGAACGTTTCGTGACCATGGTTCTGTTTGATCTGATTTCCGTAGTGTCCGTTTGTCCGGATTGTACCATACTCACATCAGGCCTGAAATAAATTTTAGTGAGCATAAAATCTATCGACAAGGTACATTTTGACACAAAAATAACACTGTAAGCTACAGGTGCAGTTAGTAGTTATTCTACTAGACATATTTGACTAGTGAAGAAGGTGAAATTCCTGACTAAAAAGATACCTGGGTTCGTCCAACGAATTGCCGATGCTTAATTGTTGATTTCGCTTCCATTTTGTTTTTCGAATAACCGATATGGTAGAATAGGAGCACAGAAGTGGCGGAAGAGATATAATTAAAATAATGAATAGACTTGATAGGAGGAATGACAAATCACGATGACAAAACATGCAGGAATGTGACAATGTCAGTGTTGTAAATGATGACAGCATATGATCGGTTGCTGCAATAAAGCAAACTGAATATAAATCCTGCAGTCGATCTAAAATACAAACTTGTATCCGTGGAATATTGTCTGATGGAGACGAGTTAGCCGTCATTGAGATTTCCTATGGGAGACGTCGTGTTCATGTCTTATGTTCAAAGTGGAAGTAAGACAATGCTGGGAGACACCTGCTAACCGAAGTGGTAATTCAGCTCGTAAACAAGCACACTCCGATGAATTCAGTATCAGTGAGTTATGCACCCATCACCAGTTTTTCAAAAAGGCCATAGTAAAACTTCGCATTTATGAAATTTGGGGATTTTTTAGGTTGAATTCCAGAATTTGACTAATTTTTGTATTTATGAATTATTTTACGATGCTGCAGAATAGAATAACGACTAACCATTCTTCCATTCAAAGCCTATTTCTATACCCGAGTTGATATTTGATGAGCTATTCATTTTCAGAAGTGAAATAACGAAGTAATCTTTGGAAGTGAACTGTAAACTGCTTTTATGAGCATGGCTGTTTATTACGGAATCATAAATTAACTCCTGAAAATAACAATTGACGTCAAAATTTTCAGCAACAGGGAATTTCATGATTCTATGATGAGAATGAACCTCTTTTGTTAAACCGCGATAAATTGCAAGTCTAAATTGATTGGTAGTCGCGTCGTGTTTTAATTTCAGATACAGAAATCTTCCGTGAGATTTCAACGTCCAATCTGTGATTTCCTCGCACGTTCGAGCAAAAAATCTTCCAGCCGTATGATTAATTAGGCATCCACAGGAGCATAATGTGTCGTTTACAGTAATTACCATGGCTTTCGATTCTGGAAAGTATCCGGTTTCAATGGATAATCCTGTCTCGCTTCATGTTAGTGGAATTAGTGTTTGAGGAAAAGTATTAGAAATTTTACCTGTGCAATTGCGCGTATCGCAACTCAAAGATTCCACGAAACTTCCTCTGCATAAATTTCCGCCATTTTGAGGAATGGGCGAGTCGCATAAGCGCCATCGTCGTTGTAGCCCACGTCCACAACTCACGGAGCACAAGCTCCATGCGGACCAATTTCGCCAGCCACCTTCCACCTGTCCTACTGAAATGTTATAATAGTTTAGAAACGAAACACAGAAACTGCATAAGGTATTCAGCAAAGGTACAACGAACTATTTAAGACCAAAGATACTACTCTCATATAGTCACTGCAATAATTCCTATAACATTATCGATTTCTGTGCTCGGAAACTTCAAACGAATCTCAGACCGCACCGAATACTCTCGAGATTGCTTACTGCTATATATTAAAATAATATGCACTCATACAATCAGTCTTCATTTCTCTGTGTTTCTAATGAATAGTAATCACTGTCAAGGCTTAACTATAGGATTTAAAACAGAGAAACTTTTCACGTTTGCCGGGCATTTCCTTCTTTGTTTATCATCTCTGTTATTTAGCATAGTAATATTAATCAACTCTTCGGTCTAAAAAATAAGGCTATGAAACTTTCACGTATTTCTACATATCAGTTAACAGTCCTCCTGATAAAAAAAGATTCGCCGTGACAGTTTTCGGATCCCTTGTCAAATGGCTGACAAAAGCGCGACACGAGTAACCTCAAGAGTTCGAACTATCCCTCCTGTTGCTGAACTCTTCTCTTCCCCTTTCACTAATAATAATTATTATCATCAACTATTTATCGTTCACTGACAATTTCCTATAATGCACTGAATGGAAACAATAGAGCGTATAATTGCTTTCGTGTCCACTTCTAGCCATATGTTTCTTCCTGCCTCTCCCAACTTTCCTGTCCTAGGACACAGTGTACCACGTACCACACTGTCCTGCTCTTTACTTCTTTTCGCTGGATATAAAACATTTTGGATATATATTTTCTGAATCAATGAATATTCCTCTCTATCTACACTCCATTAAGTCCGTCTAATCTAGCCTTACCTGGCCAATACTCATATGAATAGATACCTTTCGCACACGAACGAATGAGGTTGTAACACTAACTTTTTTACTGGAGATGTGCCCGATCGATTAACTTTCCATTTGCTCTTGTGAAACACTAGAAGTATTCACATCAAAAGAAAAAAATTTGCAAAATGTCAGACATCATAATTCCCTAAGGTAATCAATGGTCAAGACAGAGATTTAAATAGCTGGGCTATAATAATTATTCCAGCCCATTAATCAAATTTAACTGTTATTATCTCAATTCTTTTAAAATCTAAGCATAGCCATAGTCGTTTGAACTGCTGCTCAGAGCTGAGATAATGATATGATAAGATAAAATGTTGAAAACGACAGAATAATATAATGCTTTAAAATGCCATTTGTTTTCATTAATATACATAGAAACAAGGAATATTAAAATGATTTGCATGAAAAGAGTATAATAAATGAATAAAAATAAATGAATGGAAAAGTTAGGAAATAATTTGAAATTACCAAGCAATAATTCTAATTTTGTGAAAGAAAATTGATTTGCACTCAGATAAACCTATATCCTTTTTGTTGATAAGTACTTCAAATTCCCCGCAATTATAATGAGAAGTGAAAGCGGACTGTCACGCTATCCTTCATAAGATGCAATTATTTTCTATTGGTGCCTGAGTATTTGTCCCAGAAGAAATCCTTTTTCCATTCTGCTGCAAATGTTTTGATGAAGTTACACACACTTCATCGGATTAAAATTTGAGAATTTAGAATTCACAAATTGCATTCTTCAGCTGTAGAATCAAAATAGAATGGTCATAGATTAAATTTCATTTTGACTGAATTTTTTGCTTCTGCAAAACTTCCTCCCTTTGATGAGCCGATGCTTTCTTGCTTCTTTGCTATAGCTTTCAACTTTAGCAGTGAGTAGACAGTTCAGTCTAGCACTGACTGCTGTTAACAGCACTAACATTCACCAAAACTGTCAAAAGCATCGATTCTCACTCAGTCCGTTTGAATAATGCTTGCAACAACACATTGCGATGTGACTTTTAATCAATTCAAAGTCGCCGAAAATTATTGTAAGTCGTAAAATTACGTTGTAAAATATTTAAAGTAAGGCGGCAGTTTGCTAATCAAATTGACTTCACACTTATAAACTGTGGAATAATATGGGACTTTTATGTTATCTGAGATAAAATATAGGGTGAAATGCTACTCGAAGAATGGAATATCCGTTAAATTTTAATAATTCATGGATGGACTGACTGCAAAATGAAAATGTAAAGGAAGCAACATATGACGAAGACAGTGCGTAAACAATTGCTTCATTTTAATTAAGTTGCATTGAATGATACTAATGAAGCTTATCTAATAAACCGACATTGCTCAATATGCAATGATAATTGGGAATTAGTATATAATGTATAAATGGCAATAAAGTTACAGCTAGTAACTGTACGATGAAGTGAAGTTAGGCTTTGAAATTTAATGGTCATATTTAGGTCATAAACAAAATGATTAGAAGTTCGCTAGCGAATCACAGTTATCAGCGGGAATACTGAGGTTCAAATAAGATTAATGATCAAAAATTCGAAGTTCAGAAAGTCTGCCACCTATGATACTTCAATAAATACGCAAAAAAGGAAAAGTTAAAAACTAACAATTTTCAGTGTAAACGCATTTTCGTGTCCATTCACTGAAGCGTGCAGTAAATTTTCCACTGATACAATTTGAAAGCAAAATTGCGCATGAATAATATCGAACTGATAACATGGCAGCTCGATTGATTGCTGTGATAACTCTTAAAAGAGGAGTAAGCCAATCTTTTCCACTAATTTTAATTAAATATATTAAATACAAGCCTAGAGCATTACAGCCACCAAAACATCCTTCATTTCTAACTTAATCTTCTTCATATAACGGATTAGTAGTTCGCAACGGATGCGAGCAATGATTTCTAAAAGCTTCCAAAAAACGAAGAAATATCTTCCACTGATAATCCAGTGAAATTCGATTGTATTCAAGGAAAGCCTTGCCAGTCATTCCATATAATCTAATCTCTGTTGTTAGACTTTCTCAAATTGTGGAAATTTCGAGCATAAAAACTAATCTGACTTTGAATAAATTTTCTTTTAAAAGTAAATAAAACAGTGTTTATTTGATTAACAATTGCACAGAAAAAGATCAACGATTAAAAAGTTGATGGTGAAAGAGGTCAGAGGAAATTGACCATAGCTATGTGAGAGGTCTGCAGTCGATGACCAACCCTTTTCTGTTTGCCGGCAATATTGAAAGATTTAATCGAATGAAAGAAATGCAATTAGCAGATGTCTTTTTAAGCGAGGAAATTTTATTACTTCTCTGAAGTTTAGTCATTTTATTGAAAAGTTTTCGAGTGCAATGATACCTTCCGTCGTCTGACAGTCAACGTTTTATCTGCCTGAAGAGATAAATGCGACTTTTTATAGGTTTTACTCGTTGGAAAGCAATACTTTAGAGAAATTAATTTCTAAATTGCCATTGAATGAACAGTTTAGTAACGATCTGTCTTTCTACAATTTGCCCATTTGAAATTTAGTCTATACACTGAATTCAAGATTAGATAAATATTGCACAGAAAGGATATCTTTATCAAAGTCTGAACTAATTTAACTGAATTCAAAAATACTAACCGATATCGTATTCTTCCATATAGTATAACTGTTCGGAAGTGGAATCTACCGGAACAGCAAAAACACGCATTTTAAATTCCAAATCTTGGACTAGGCATGATAAATTGGTCCAGGTTATTTTTAAGTAATCGAAACAACGGGGAAAGATATATGACCTTGGTAGGTTAATTGAAATTTCGTTCGTTTGCTGTAGTTTAATCGCTTTACTTTCCTGCATTGTATAAAAAAGTAAAACTAGAGTAATAATTTAAGAAAGAAAAAAAAACTAATTCTATAACTGGGATTAATGATTTTCCTGAAATATTAGATGTAAATTAACAAAAATATTTGTGACGGTTAAAGATAGAAAATAGTTTCGTTATTTTCAGATAAAGTTGAAATATTATGAATGACTGAAAGGCTAAACAGGTAGAGATAAAATTAGATTTAACTGTAATGTTATCATTGGATGACATTCAATAAGGACAATAAAAACGCATGTTCAGATACAATGAAACGTCTCTGCAGAGGAAAAAGGAAAAGAAGAGGAAACTTTTAATTATCTTCAGATTACATTTTTTACAAACTGATCTTCGTCACTTCAGCAAGAATAATTACATTCAAGAGAGTTATGTTTCAATTTCGGACAAGGACACAACTTCAATGAGAAACAATTTAACTTTTTGACTGCTGTAATATCCTAGTCCACAACTAATATCTAGAAGTGTAACTTATTATTTTAAGCAGCAGATAGAAGTATGTTAGGAAAGAAAGGTAATAAATACTTCATTATCTTCATTGGCCTCGCTTAGGCCAAACCAAACATCAAACATGTTGATCAGCAATATTAAGTTGCTCTTGATATGCAGTTAATTTAAAGATTAATTAGTAAGTTTAAAAACATAATATGAAGAAAGTAATCATACTAACCTGCACAATCCATTTATCATTTACCACGGTAATTCTATAGATTCCAGGAAAACATAAGTGATGACAGGGAAGTATTAGTTTTTTTCTCAGCGGCATCTCAGCCACAGTCTTAAATTTCAAGTCATCGGTTTGTGTGGCACTTACTGTAGTAGATGGAGCGTACTGTAAATGCAACGACAAGTTCAGCCTGCTACAGAGAATGCTGAAATCGAATTCTACCACGAGCGGTTGACAAATAATTGGGTTTTCCGGGATCTTCCAGAACTTTTTCCCTGTGACGACCGAAAATCGGAAGATTGGAATGTTATCAATTAGCAGTTCATAGCGATCGGATGGAAATCCAAAACATCTACACGGGAATATTGCATTTCCCATCGCATTCAGTGAGCAGATGGAACGATTCATATGACGAATTCGAAGGAAAGTTGCATGAGGAGTATGAAAAGACACCGCGGTGAAAAGAGGAATCTCACGCGGGAAAGTAAATTCTTGTGACTGATTACTGCTTGGCAAATTAGAAACGGTTCGGTCAATGAGTATAAATAAAGTTGAAAAACTGAGACATTGGAATGCAAAAAGCATAACAGAGCATCCAATGAATAGAACAGAAAGAGGTCAACAGTTGAAAAGGTGAAAATTAAATATGCAAAAGGTAGCAATAAGATGACGTATCTCAGATGATATTCAAATGATTTGCTCGAAATGGAAAGCAAATTAACAGAAATAACTCATTTCTTTTGGTCTTTTCATTCACCTGAAAACACTAATTAATTTTGAAAATAAATTAGCTAGTCGAATAAGAATCATCTATAAAAAAGCATAAGAATCATTTATAAAGAAATAAAAAGGAAAAAAACATCAAAAGGCAAAAAGACCAAAATCCAAGAAGTTTGAAGAGCAACGAAATTTAACAACTTCATATATAATTTCTCATAAATATCGCTAGTGCAACGATGTTACTGAGATGAAGCGAAATGCTTAGCACAGCCAGATAATTCAGGAATAGTCTATTCCAAGGCTATTCCATAACTCTATGACCGTAGTTTCCTTTGGCCTATTAGATTGGGCTATTTCCTTGCACATCCCAGTAGATCTCTGCATCCCTAGCTTTTCTTCAGAAAATGAAAAGAAAAAGATGGAACTGACACTGATTTAGCATCCTCTATCCAGTGTCCAGCAAGCATTATTTTGTGATCCGTGCATGTTTGTGCGGCAAAGATGAAAGCAGTGTTGATTACATGACACTACATGGTTAGACGATATCTTCTTTAGTATTATTAAATCGCTTTTGAAGTCATTATATCACTCAAACTTTATAGAAAAGCTTTGAAATGCATCCAACAATCAATTCATGCAAAGCAAATTTCAGTTTAAAAAAAAGTTAACTGAATTATTTGCAGCAAAGAATATTGTTTCTTCAAAAAAAGTTGAGTAACGAAGTGGTAATGTGTTGCCAATAACAGAAAGAAAATCATGAATTTATTTAAGAAGGAATAGAGAATGACAGATTTTTGATTGTGCAACAATAAAGAAGCGTCTGAATTGGACGTATCGGTAAAAATGGGGAAGAGAGAGGGTAGTTTAATTACATGTCACAGTCAATGCTTCTCAATGCTAATGCTAAAAGCTGTTGGAGAGGAAACGGGCACAAGAAAGGTGGAGAGAGGTGAAAGGTTTTTTTTTTTTTTATTTCATTTGACATTGTTTTTCCATTTGTGAAAGATCAAAGTTTTGATGCATTGTGATGCATTATACAGGCAAATTTTAGAAGTATTTTCCTATTCAAACGGAAAACAATATGGGTCAAAATAATATGAATAATAAGAGCAATAGCAAAAAATGGTAATGGATATTGGTCAGTAAGCATATAAACATATCTCACCTCCCACATAAGGGCCGAATAGTTGGTCACAGCAGTCTGAGGGAAGAGTAGTGCATAAAGCAGGCTTTCGTCGCTTCTACTCAAATGAACATTGCAGGGTACCGATGCAGAGACAGGAGGGTGGGGTAAGATGAAAATTAGGTGACAAATTAATTGGATTACGAGCACAGAATATATCTGCGTCAATCTCATTACCACTATCGCCTGGGGCAATGCTCATTATAGTATTATCACGAATCAATGTACCGATTGAATTTTAGGTAAAATATTGTGCGAAGAAGCATTACCTAAATTTTAATTATGTAGATCAGCCAATGGTTACACAGAATGTAACCACTGGCTGATCTACCCGACATTCTATCAGTATCTAATCAAAAATTAACGTAAACGGTTGGAAATGTGAAATACTATTGTATGCTAATTTTTATTATAAAATTACAAGTGACATATTTGTGGCTCATTTGACATTGTTTTTCCATTTGTGAAAGATCAAAGTTTTGATGCATTGTGATGCATTATACAGGCAAATTTTAGAAGTATTTTCCTATTCAAACGGAAAACAATATGGGTCAAAATAATATGAATAATAAGAGCAATAGCAAAAAATGGTAATGGATATTGGTCAGTAAGCATATAACTTTTGTCTCATTTTAAAGAGTTTCTAGCTTTCTTTTCCAGCCATCCTATTTTAAGAAAATCAAATTCCTCTGAAGTTTTCACAATCAGTTTAGAATTTCAATTATAGCAATTTATTGATGGGTTGTTTCTTTCATATAAGGAATTATTGCGAATTGATCATTTGAAGTGATGGAAGTCTGTACTAGAAATTAAATTCAGTAGAAATGGTTTTGTGTCATATAAGCATTTGAATAAAAGAAACTCTGATTTTAATAAAAATTTAGCATTAGAATTTTCTGCTTATTACTATTTTTTCCAGTTTATTTCAGCATTTTTGCTTCCTTTCCATCATATTATCATCTGAATAGTTAATTAATTTGTTAGATTATAGTGATGGTATTTGAAACTCAAGAACTGCTTTAGTATCAATGGAATTAATAAGATGAGATTAGACATCAAATTTAATTAGCTTCAAGTTTAGCTATTCTGATCTCATTTCAATAAAAAATTTTAAGAAATACTAAATTTTAGAGGATGAAATTTAGGAGAAACTTTAGGACAATATCAAAAGATCTTAATTGAATAACAACAGATCCAACAAACCATATATTTGAATATGAGAGATTAATTTGCTATATTATCATAACAGTTGAGGACAATTCGATATGACAGGAAATTCACTGACTATGGGAGATAGCCTTTTATGCTAGTCGTGAAATAAAGAGAAGTGTGATATCATCGCATTTGATAGCTAAATATCTGAAATATATGACTCAGCGAGCAGCATCGTGAATGTTAAATTTGTTTTAAAATTTAACCGTTATTGGACAAACCACCTATACCAGAATTAATCAAAATAGAGACAGAGATCAATTTCAGGTGTTTTTGTTTCAAGCAATCAATAAAACGATGAAGATAGAATTTTCTCAAATGGTTGCAAATAGCTGGAATATTTCCCATTCCAGAGTGCACTTTCAAATGAACAATTTAGAAGGTTGGGCATTTATCTTAATGAATGCAAAAAAGAAATCAGTCAGATTCTTCTTTTTATATTTGTAACAGACGAAATGACTTCAAATCGTTCATTTCATTATTTATCATTTAAGTCAATTTTCATCCAACAGATATCATCAAATATTCATTTTTCATTTATATAGTGTGATAAGAAATATGAAATGAAGTTATCATCCTTTTCTAGTACCATCTCATCTCATTAACCCATTTTCATCTTAGCATTAAAATAAGTAGCCTTGATAACCATCACAAATACATTGGATCGTCATACGATTGCATGGTGACACTTAGAGTACCAACTGGATGGTTTTCAGCAATTATATCATATTGCATGGACCGCGTATCATTATCAACGCTTTCCACAACATGCACTGCACCCAAAGTTCGGTCACGAATTGATCGCTCTTCCATTAATGCTATCAAAAAGTTATGAGTCATATCTCTCCTAAAATTATCATAGTTGCAAAATAGGAATATTTATTCAAGCTACCTATATAATATGTCAATATGAACACATAAACCTTACAAGTTTCAAGCTATTCTTATTGATCATTAACGAAAAGTAACGGTGATAAAGTCATGGGAGTATGCTCTTGTACGGGTCATATCAATTGGTTGTTTAATATGTAAACTAATTAATATGTAAACTTCCGTCCTCAAGAAAAAGTTACTTCCCAGTTCAAATTTATATACCAGCAGTGTTCAAAGGCAAACCCATAAAAAATGAAGCACTGGTTCCAGAAGACTTTGGTACCTTCAACCGTTCTCGTTCGTACCTCTTCTTTATCACAGTTGATAACAACATATGTACGTATTGCTGTAATAACAGGAGAATTAGTCGATGTACCACTTATAAATTATTATAAATTTGCGAACAGAAAGCGTTATCGTTCGCACACTGGAAACTGCCATATGACGACAAATCGGAAGTTCACCGAATCTTAAACTTGAAATATTGAACAATACGCTGATTATTTCATGAATTTAAACTTCCTAATTTTTTTTTAGTCTTCCTAATTTAAATTGGCTGGTTTTGATTTTAAGAGATAGCAAGCAAACCTTCGTTTTTGCTATTCAATTTTGCACCAACAACAGTAATTCGAGCAATAGAATTCATTTTTTTACAAGAACACAATCCTCGACTGGGTGTATCTTTCTTGAGTAGTCGGGGAGCAATATTTCGTTCCGAATAAATTCGAAGCAAAAATTCAGCATATTCGCGAGGTGCAAATGTTGTCGGGAATAGGATGTACCGGCCCTGTTGTAAATTCTGGCAGTGTAAATACACTGAACGACCGTAGTTATAATCTGATGTTACTTCCGGATTTATTGCCTGGAAAGAAATTCGTACCTTTCACGAAGTCATTTATTCTTCCAAATAAATTAAATGTTCTTACATCTCAAATTGTTTAATGATCCGAGCAAACTTGTACTGAAATAAGCTAACACATTTTCAGCCAAAGAGTCGTCGTACATGAATTTTTAAGAGCAATTATTTGATGTCTAACATTAGTTAAATCAGAAATGCTCATTTCCGAAGATTGTTTCAACCTTAACTCACAGGTAATTTGCAATGCAGCAAACCTGATGTATCCTGTATATCCGATTATTTTCTACTCTCATCAAATGCATTCCAATAGTCACCAGGGGTTCACGGTTCTTTTCACCTTCATCCTTTACTTTTTGTGTTAATGCGAATCGCACTTCAGAATTATCAACATCGATATCAAAACGGTACTGAAACACTGCAGTTGGTATTAAACTTTCGGTATGGTATAAGCTCATTAGTGAAAATCACTTCCCAAAAACATTATGGTATTCTCTGCTAAACGTAACTTATTTCAATAGTCTGAAATAAATTTCTGATTAACACATTGTAGATAAGAAAGCATTTCTTCTTGCACACTAGCAGGAAATAAAACAAATTTGTTTTTTTTTTGGTTTATATTAGAAATTAAAATCAATTTTAAAATGAAGTCCACATTAACAAGAACAAAATCAACCCAGTAACGCAGCGCCGTACTTCTGCGCCTGTAAGATGAACTAAGTTTAAATGATCCTTCTAAAC